TCAAATTTTAAAGTTAATTAGTTATAAAAAATATTTTTGAAAGTAAAGACACCAGCAATATTGACGGATTTATTAAACCTTTACTTAAATCTTTGAATGTTGCCTAATTAATGCTATTTATATGAGTGATGGCTTTCACTTTCTTGATAGATTGCTTTTGAATCCCATCACTTTTTCTTTGATGTCATCTTTCCTAAGCATATACACTATATATTTCTCTCTTTAAGCAAATTTAAAAATAAGTATAATGCTTGAATGTAGAATCATGATATTTGGAATTATTAAATGATAAACTTAAGCCAAGCTTTATGTATTCGATCAAGAGATGTTTTGAGTGATAGAAGACAATGAAGATATGAATCAGATTATACAATTTAAAGTAAATTGGTAAGATTTAATTTCTTGAGTTTAAATAATTTAAATAAATTTAGAATAACAAATTAATTTGACTAAACTTAAATTTAATATATTTCCAATGTTTAATCTAAAAACAAAATAGTTGAATTTTTCAAAATAGCTGCTAATGAATTATGATAATTAAGAATAAATTTGTCTCTAAGTGTCGAAATTTTATAAATCGAGTTATAACATTAATTGGTTTTATATATGGTAGTTTCCAATAAAATATCAATGTGTTGGATTTAAAAGCACTCTAAACATGTAAATAAATTATCTAAAATAATTGATGGACTAATAATTAATATCCAATGGACAATTATCAAATATTAAATTTCTAAATTAAACACCAAAATAATTAGATGATTACTTATTAATATTTCCATATTCTAATTAAAGTCTTACCATATGAAAAATGATTTATTGATTCTTATATTTCATAGTAATATTCCATCAAATCTTCATAACATGTTATAAAAGTTCTAAATAAATTTTTAATTACACCTACTGCTAAATAATGCTATACTTTTATATCATTATTAAGATCAATTTCTTTTTAAATTAGAAAGGGTTATCAGAGAAATCTGTATCTACCAAAGGGAATATATAATTGTAAGTGCTTTGTAATATTTTATTTTGTAGTTATGATAAAAATTATGATAATTGAAATGCAGCCAAATTCTCATTTATTAAATGTTATTTACCAAAAGCAGCAATCAATTTCATTAACAAAATCCAAATCTTTATTATTTCTTACCTTTTATATTTATTTTCACATGTGAATTCATCTCTTGACAACTAATTTTTTGTTTTAAATAATCCCTCATCTTTTTATTTTTCCCCTTTAAATAGAGGGTATCTTTATTATTGATATCCATTTTAATAAATTAATACAAAACATCTTATTCATATTAATGCTATCTTAAATTAAATAGATTAAAATAGGTTTCTTAATGTAGTTAATGCTTATGTTACTGAATTAAAAGAAATAGAGTGAAAATTTTTGGTTAATCAGATTTTTTCACATAAAAATAGAATCAAAAAACTAATTGAAATTTACATAGAAATAAAATCAAAAAAAAAATGTTATATACAACAATGAATGATTATAATTTGATAAAAATTAAGAAAAATTGAAGTTATTAAAATAAAGAAAATTAATATTGTGAAAGAACTAATAAATATATTTAGTCATAAAGTGGATGTATGTGCTTAATATTTTTTTCATGTATCATTATTTTTATTTTCTTTTTTTGATTTTACAAATTATCTCAATTTACTAATGCCCTCATTGCTATTTTTCTTGAAGTCGAATCCATATCATTTTCCATATCGAATTTATAATGGATAATCATCTAATGTTTTGTTAGAAATGCCAACTTTTTCAGCAGCCTTATCCAAGGACATCTAAATAATTTTTTTGTTTTAATCATAAAAGCCAGTATAAAGTCTTCTCCAGAGAGTAACCTATTTTAGAAAAATATTTTTTACTCTTTCAACAACTTATGAGAGAGGTCTTTGCTTAATTTTTTAATTCTTTTTAGAATTGGTTTCTTCATTTGGTTATTATTCAAGAATAGTATCAAATAAATTGATTTTGGAAGGTTTAAATTTCAATTCTCAATCGCTTTAAATATCATTTAAGATAATACTTAAACTATCTACTTCATCATATTTTCATACTTTTCAATTCTCCAGAATTTCTCTAAATTTATACTAAGACTTCTTAGAGCTTCATTACTTTTTACTACAAAAACTCAACTTTTAGAAATGCGAAAAATGCTTTTTATTTATTTTTAATTCAAAAGAGTCTCAGTTTTCAACTTTGATCCTTCTAATTTTTAAAATGATTACTAGAGCTTTCCCCAACATTATTCAAACTTATTATTATTCTTATATTATTTTTTTATTTATATTTTCTATTCATATATTTAGATATTCCTTTAGTAGCTAAATTTCTTTAAATATTTTTTTTCTTTAGGTGCAAATCAATCCATACAAGTAATACTTGTAAAAATTTCTAATTATCTCTTTAACTGCTTTGAAACTTAATTTTAAAGAAGATAATGAAATATAAATAGGGATGAAGCACTTAATTGTTTATTTTTTTATCAAGCTCGTGCAATTTCTATATAAATTCTTATTTTTTCTTGGCTATTTTCCTTTTAACTGAACCAGCTATACCATATATTAACAGTACTGTTTTTTCTTGATATAAAAACCCATTTTATTCTCATCGAGCTGTTCTAAATTCATCAAAGTACTTAATTCTTTTCACCCTTATTCTTAAGTATTTAATGGCACATAAATAACTTAAGATTTTTATATGCAGTTTCTTTCAATGTTTTCCACTTTCTAATTTCAAGTAGTATTTCAACAGATTTTCCTCTCAAAAATTTGATGTCATTTCTCAAACTGTTTAGTTACTCTTTCATGACATTATGAATTCCAAATAAATTTTTTTTATTTGATTAACAAAATCCATAATCAATCTAAGTTATTAACCCATTTCACTAATATTTCTAATTTGTTAAGATTAGTCTTATGGGCAATTTATTCTTACAATTAATTGATTCTCTTCAAAATTTATTCCATTTCACTTGCGATCCTATCATTTTAAGTCTACCAATCTTTCTTCAAAATCTGCATTTACATATTTAGTAAGTTTTCATTTATCTTCAGATTTCTAACTGTTTAATGTATTTCCTAAAACCACAATTAGTTCAGAAATAATTGTTTTTGTCTAAGCAATTTGTTTATCCTTGTCGGTTAAGATAAATCTTGATTTAATTCTAATCATATTTGTCATTCTGGTTGTTCAAAGATTTCAATAAATTCTTAAAATCTATATCAAAGTCATTATTTGAAATTAATATAAATTTCTTATTAATATATTTGAAATTGATCAAGTTTTCCAAAGTAAATAATGTATTGTAGTAATTTACCTAATAACTTCTTCACTTCTATAACTTTTTCTTATGATAATTTTACCACCTTAATTATAAATAATAAGCCATTATACTGATCCTCGATTGCTTAGATTTAAATTCGAATTTATTTAATTAGCTTTATAAATTCATCAGCAATTTTTTAATTAACAATAACAAAATTCCTTATATATATTTTAGGATTCCCAAGTAATTCAATTACTTTTTTCTATTTTTTTTATAATTTTTTTCTAAAATTTTCTCCAATGAGGGAAAGAAAGAGTGATATAATAAGCAAACTGAATTTTTCTTCAAATCATAAAAAATCTTGTTGCAATCCTATTTAAAAATAATCCTTAAATTATCAAGCAAATGCAGATTCATAAATTTTTGAGTTAACAATTAAAAATAAGGATTATTTTTTAATATTATTCTTTCTTAACATATTTTATTAATTTTTTGTCAAAATGAAAAAGATTCATAAATTTTGAGTCAAACATAAAAATTTTAGAATTTATATATCATCCAACTTATGTTAAAGAGATGAAAAAAATTAATATTATTCTAAAATTTGTTAGATCATTAAAATTCAACAACTTTGGAATAATAATAGATCCTATTTTACATAGGTATTCTGCAAAGATAATCATAGAAATAAATGCCTTCCACTGAAATAAGGATAGATAAAGATTTCTAATTAACTATCAGCTAAATTAACTCTGAAAAAGATTAAAAAGTCTTGTTATAAGTGCTATTGATAGTAGATAAATTAAAAGATCTTAAAATTTTCTTTTACATTTTCCAATCAGTAGATAAAAGCCTCCAAAAGTTTTTATTTTATATTAGAATAATTAGACAAGCTTTCGTAATAAAATCTAATGAATTGAAATACCATAATACATAGCTATATCATATAAATAAAAGTGTTAAGAAAAATAATTACTTTGTTTAAATAAGTATTTAATACTGTACTTAAACACTGCAGTTAACTTTAAAAGGGCTTCTTTTGTTGCTATTATATAATACATATTTTATGGAGGTTGTTTTAGGCTTATTACAATTTAATAATTAAATGAATTAAGATTTTTGATAATTAAACTACCTCATGCATCAAAAAATGAAGAGAATTGTGGAGATACTAAAATTCCACCTATTTTAATTTGTTTGACTTTTGTCTTTGTAAAATTTATTATTAACTTTTTTATGATAAAATCTTATTTCTGTTATTAAAACTCTTTAATGCTAAATTGAAAAATTTTTATTCAAATCTTTTTTGCACTATTATAAAAATATTTAGATTTTCATTACAATACCCAATCCTGTTTCGAAAATAGTACTTCATAACTTAGATTTTCTAAGGTATGAAGTATCGATATTTTTATATGGATTCATGCAACAATAATATGATAAAATTTGTTTTCATTTATTAATTAATTATATTAATAAAGTTAATTTATATAAATCATTTTGAAAGTAAACTCAACTTTATATCAATAATCATAAAGTCAGTTTTTAATGATATGATAAGAAACTGTAAATGATTCACAATAAACTATTGAAAAAATGAAATAAGATTTTTGTGATTCAATCTTATTTATATCATACTTTTTCATTCCATATTAATACGATAGCTATTGTTAACAATTTGCTAGTTCTTTTTAATCATTTTAATTTTAACAATCAATATATTATGTATCAAAGTATTCAGATTATATAAAAGATATAATAAAAACAGTAAAAATAATGAGGAGGAAATAATAAATAGTATATTTGATTAAAATATAAGTATTGATAATGTTAAATATTAATATTGAAGGAAAATTCTTCATAAGCAAACTATTGTAATCAAAGTATCGTATATATCTGGGTTTTTTGAAGTTGAATGAATTGATGTCATGTATATTTATTTGAATTTTCAATATTATTTTCTAATAATTGTTAAGAATGTTTTAAAGATTATCGAGTAGAATACCTGATTAGAGTAAAGATGATGATAAAATTAGATCGGGATTGCTATCATGAAGTAAAAATAAATAAAGTTTTGTTTTATAATTATTATGTCTTCAGACAATGAGTTTTGATTATGAAAGCAAAAAGAAATATGTATTTTGATAAAATAACTCTCAATTCTACTCCTTTTAGAAGAGGAACTAGAAATATAGCTAGCAACAATATATAATTTATTTGATTATATTTAATTCATAATTTTTGTAAAGATGAAATCACTTTGCATATTTTATTTAGTTCTCCAATCTTTAGGATCTAAATTGTTTTAATTAGAGGATTATAACACAATATCAAATAGTAATTAATATAATTAATATTGAGAATGGTGCATTTAAGATGGTTAATCAGGGACCAATGCTTACAATTAAGAAATCTATTTAGGAGGGTAAGGTAAATTTAAAGATCAAACAGTACTTCAAAATTATTACTATCTTGAAAATCATTATCAAGTGACTTTTAAAATTCAAGCAATTTTCTCAATTTGTATATAAACATTTAGTGTGTAATTGGATGACGTAATATAAAATATTGATATTGTTCCATCTATTCCATAACCTGTTAATTTAGAGGTAGGTTATTTTCATACCAGTAAATCAGGGTTTCTATCTTTATAAGTTACCAAATTACCAAATGGTTGTTCTAATTCAGAAAGCTGGTGGGGTATTTTTGCAATTTAAATTTATTTATAAAATTGTTTAGAAGATAAAGATTATTGTTAACCAGGGTCAAATAATAAATGGATACTATTAGATTCAAGTCTATATTATAAATAAAACGAATGGAATCAAATAAATTTTGGATTAAATAGTTAAACATTTAAATGTATTATATGGGATAAATATTATTTAGATTTTAGAATGTCATTTTAATCCTACTTTAATAATTATCGAATGTAAAAATATGTGCTTATACCTTATCCAACGAGAGTCAGATTTTAATTTAAACTAATCTTTGAGAATTAACCTTATAGAATAGAAATTAAAATTAATGATTTCTCAACTTTATGGCCAGTTAATAATAATTTAATATTATATTCTAAATGTAATTCGTTAAGATGGTGGGTATATAATATAGAGATTGATATCCATAATCATAAAAGTGATTAATTGTCTATTTCTTTAATTTTTATGGAAAATGTTGGAAGCAATGAGGTAAGTATATTCGATTTTAATGTATATTATTAAAATTAGGATATAATAGAACCAGCGAAATTAGGATGTTTAAAAATGATAAATTAATAATGTTTTTTTTGTGAATTAGGTTGGTAATTTGATATAGTGTAATAGGATTGCATTCCAATTTGTGGTAATAAAATAGAATAAGCATATGAGGAATGTGATGATGGTAATGATATTGCTAATGATGGATGTTATAATTGTAAATTTGAATGTTCCTTAGATTGTTAAGACTGCTATTTTGGTAAATGTTTAGTTTAATAAAATTCTAATGATATAGAATAATATGATACATTGAAAAAGATTCAGGATTGTTAAAATAGTAAGGGTTATTATTTTGATATTTTATCTAATGATTGTTAATCTATTTGTGGTGATTAAATTATTACATTATAAGAAGAATGTGATGATGGTAATTATCAATTTAATGATGGATGTATGAATTGTAAATTCATTTGTTCTGATGAATGCTTAAATTGTTAATTTGGTAAATGTTATTAGTGCAATCCTGGCTATAAGATTATATAATTTAAATGTATACCTAATTGTGGAGATTAATTAATAATAGCAGATGAAAAATGTGATGATGGTAACAATATTCCATTTGATGGATGTTATAAATGTTAAAGTAGTTGTTAATTAGAATGTATAATTTGTTAGAATTCATATTGTATTGAATGTTTATAAGGATGGAATCTTATAGAAGGTTTATGTGAATAAAGATGTGGAGATCAATAAGTAGCTCTAATGTCTAATGAATAATGTGATGATCTTTCCAATAATAATTGTGTTGATTGTTCTTACTCATTTTGTTAAATTAATTGTCAAATATGTAACCAACATTAATGTGTTTCTTGCATTTATCCATTTCAATTAATTGATGGACTTTGCTAACCAATATGCGGTGATTCAATTATTACACCTGAATATGAGGAATGTGATGATGGAAATGATATTCCATTTGATGGATGTTATTAATGTCAATATTCATGTTCTTATGGATGTATATCATGCACAAAAAATAATATTTGTAATTAATGCGATTAAAATCTATTTATTCTGGATAATTTTACATCTTAATGCAAATAAATTAATTCAATTATTTATAATAATAATAATGAATATCCTCTAATAGATTCACTTTACAATATAAATAATACTAGTATTAGATGCTATTAAAATTATATATTAATAGATAATATTTGTGTGAACTAATGTGGAAATGGATAATTAAATAGCTTTTATGAAGAATGTGATGACGGAAATAATCATGGAGGAGATGGATGTTCATCTTTATGTTAACTTGAACAATCTTTTTAATGTATTAATATAGAAGGCTAATTAACTACATGTTCATTTATTAAACCATCTGATTTCAATTTAATTAGTCTTTCTGATAAAGCTAATTAAACTCAAATTATTGAATTGACTTTTACATAGTAAGTTAAATTAATTTATCCATCTTAATTATAAGAAATTATAGTTTTTAAAATATCTCCAGAAATAACACATGAACTTACTATCATTCCAATATAAAATCTTACTATTGATTTAAATAATCCAATCTATTAGATAATTATTTATTTTTAATAATCAATTGAAAATCCAATATTAGAGGTTGAAATCTCTAAATTTTAGATATTTGATTAATATGATTAAGGTCTATTAAATTTTAATAAGAACATTTCTCTGGGAAATCCTTTTGTTATTTCAGAATCTACAAAACAATAAGTAGTAACTATTGTTAAATTAAATGATGCCATGATGTATTCAATGGCAAGTATTGCAGGTTTAGCTTTGTTAACAGGAAATATGTTGATGATACTCAATCTTCTAGATTTATTATAATCTTTATCCTATATTCGTTTTATGTAATATTAATTTCCACCTCATTTACGATTATTTCTTGACACTTACACCAAAGTTTCTTTACAACCAATATTAGATTATTTTAAAGTTGATGAAATTATTACATAATTAAATGGTGGCCTCTTGCCTTACAAAAAGAAAAAATCATCCAATTTTAATTCAAATTACGCCTTAAACTCATTTTATTTAATAAATGCTAAAAGTTGCTACTTTTCACTTTTAGCATCCTTGCTTACATATATAATTTGCTCTGCCATTTCCTCATAAATAATAAATTAGAAATTGTCAAATTACTATCTAAAGTATTAATAGAAACTTAAATTCTTAAAATTACTTTCAATATTTCAAGCCAAAGTATAATTTTAATGTTTGAAAATTAAAAATAATTACTTTTCTCTTGGAATATTTTAATTATATTTTACTATATTACATCAATTATCCTTTAGCACTTTTATATAATTTCCAGATTATACTTTCTAAAGTGTCTTTGAGTTCTTCAATTCAATTAATGCTGCTATTGCACTTATTATGATATTATTTTGTTGCTTGAAAATGCTTTCAATCACTTCTGCTTCTATAAGAAATATATCTAAATGGAAATATTTCTATTTAGGATCTAAAACTCAATTTTGGGCAATTAATTTCAAATCCTTTTAAATTTTCAGAATCAAATTCTACATTTTTATTATTGTAATTTGTATGAATTATCCGTAAATCCAATCAATATTATTGTCCGTCTAATCCTTATTTTATTTAATATATTTATATAAATTTAGACCCTTAAATTCCAACTTTGATTTGGTTAAATTAATATTAAGAGAATCATTATTAATAGTAATATTTAGCTCATTTTTACTTTATAGTTTTGATTACAATAAAAATTAATTTTTACTTATTGGATGGATACATATTTATTTATTTTCATTAATATTATCCTCAAGTTTAATTGTAGATATGATTGAATATATATAAAAGATACATCACAATTACATTAAAAAGAAAATGTTAGAAAAATAAAGAGAACAAAATAAGTATTTTGATAATCCTCTTCAAAGATTCATATTAATAGAACAGTAAAATAAAATACATTGAAAAGTTATTTTTAATTTATTATCCAATTAGTAATTTATTTATAATATTTTTAATATCCTAATTTTATTTTATCCAAAACTATTGCGATTTTTATTATAATTTTATTATTACTTACACTTTATATAGATTTCTTATTGATGAAGATATTCAATTTAAATATTCATAATAATATTTTTATTTTATTATTGATCTTTTTAATTGTTTAATAAAATTTTTCTATTTTAATTTATTTTACAACCTTTCCATTATCCCATTTGAATTTATATCTAAAATTTAATTTTAAATAAATGTGGCTGATTATTAAAAGATAATCATTAAAGCTTAATTCTACTTTAATTAAAATAATAAAATTTGAAATGAAAAAAATACTTTGATATCTGGATTAATCGAATGAGGATGCCAAATAAATTTAACTTAAAGGAATTTATTTTTCATGAAATTTATAAAATAAATATTCATCACCTCAAAAAAAAATAATTTCGATTTCAATTTACATCTATCAATTAAAATATTTAAATCTTTAACTAAAATAAATTATATCATTTGATCAACAACTTTAAAAAAAAATCTAGCTATAAAACAAATTTAGAATATTTATTTATACACCATTACTTATAGTTAATAAATTCTTCAAATATATATCGCATCTGTAAGATTGTTCATCATTTTTTTTCTCTAAACTATTCCTAATTATAAATTCTAATATTTATGATTTAATTCCTGAATTCCTAAATCAAGTCTTTATTAGGACTATTAGGGTAAGAATCTTTTTACAATTTACATTAATTCAATTATATAATCTTTCTGATTCAAAGTAATTGTAACATCAATCTAAAAAAAATCTACTTTATAATCTATCTTGTATGTAGTAGATTAGTTATAGTAATAATTTTTAATAAAACAAGGTTAAATTTTTATCATTATTCTCAATTTTATTGATAAAATTTACAGATCTATTAATACATTTAATAAAGCTCTATTTATGAGATATATATCCGCTTTTAGAACTAGTTTGCCAATAAATATCTTTAATACTATATTTCTACAAAAATTATAATCCTTTAAACAATAAATTGGTTTTATTTCTTTTATTGATAATTTATAAATTTAAGTAATTATAATCTAGAATTTATGAAGGAATTCTCTTCAATTATTATTTTATATCCAAAATAAAAGTAAACAATTAATAATTAACTATCCTGCACATTTAATATATTCATTTCTACTAGATAAATTCTTGAATTAAATATAAATTAATCATCAGTTCATTTGTATAACAATTCATTTTGTGTCTTTTATTGGATTATTAATAAATCTCTATAGAGAGTTTCTCATAAAATTAAATTTACTATCACTACCCTATCTTTTTAAATAGTTCTATAATTACAGACTGTGGAAAATACTTAGATTTTAGCTCTTAAGGGATATTAATAATCGTCTATATTAGTTTTATTTATTAAAAATTTATTTGTGATATCTTTATTTTATTTTAATACCATATATTAACCTTATCCAACAAAAAAATTTAATTTTCTCAAAAATCTTCTTTTTTATGATTATTCTTAATTGAACAAATATTTACACGATTCTTATATTTTGGCAGTCTTTAATTAGTCAATTCAAAGAGTTCTTTTGGTAAGCTTTATTCTAAAACATTAATCATTTTTTTTTATATAGCTAAATATTTATGATAATAATAATTAAAATTAATTTATATGAAGAGAAGTCAATCCTTTTCACAAATTAAAGCATTAAATAATTAAGTGAAATTTGAAGATTTCATCCATTAATCTCCATAATAAATTGAAAATCAAATAAAATAATAGCAATTTAATTTTTAATAGAGCTTTGCAATTTAAACTTTAATTTGCCAAACTCCTTTAGAAAAATTTATTAATTATTCACTAGGAAATACAATAATCAAATAGGGATTCATTGCAGTAAAAATAAATAATGGAAGTTTCAAGAAATCTAATATCTAATTAACTAGAGAGAAATTAGTAATTCTAGAAGATTAAATATGGAATCTAATTTTTAATTTAAAATATTTAGGATATAATTTGATTTAAGTAATAGTTTATCTATATTACAAAGTGTAATAAAAATTCCTTACAACTAATTAAACTTGACTTTTTCTAGATAGGTAAGGTAATTTTTTTAAAATTTAATGATGAAATATAAGGTAAATTATGGTATTAATGCTTGAGAATGATAGAGGAAAAGTTTAGGAATTAATATAGAAAAATAATTATTAAAGATATATATTTTGGAACAGATTTTGTGACTGAGAATGAATTTCTGGATTGGGCAGAAACAGGAGATATTCTACTTTTTTAGTAATTTAATATTTAATTTAAAAAAGAACTGATAACTATTTAGCTAAATTACAAAGAGCAATTACAAGTTCTTAATTTGACCATGTGGGACTCATAATTCGTAAAAAAGAACATAATGAAATTATGGTAGTAGATGTAAAAAATAATATTGTAAAATTAAATTTAATTTTAGGGAGTTGATTTTGAATTTTGGAAATTCTTTCTTAAATTAAATACTCAATATAAAAAGATTAATTATAGGAAATTATTAAATGTAGATAGAGAATTTATAAATTCAAAGATTTAAGAATTTATTGAAGTATTATATATACTATTAAGAAAGTTTATGGTTAGGAATTTTAATTAAATATTATGAAATTGTTACAATAATAAAGCAATGGATTAATCAATAAAGGTTACTTTTGTAGTGAACTTATAGCAAAGGCTTATAAATATTGTTCCCTCTTGCCTTAATAAAAAGCTAGTTCTTAATATTGGCCAGTTACATTTTCTAAATAACTAAAATTATTAAATTAAGCAGAATTGAGCCATTCTATGACGATTTTATTAGATTTAGATATTAAAAATTAATTATGAATTAAATTCATATTAAAAAATATAATAATTAAACTTTGATTTCAGTTAGAAAAGAAACCAATCTAAATAAATCTATGTAATAGTAACCAATTAGATTATATAAATATACTCAATATGTACTCTCTTTAAGTATAAAATTTGTAAAATTTACTAGAATCGCAACTGGATATAAGTTCAATTCTTTAATTATTTTATTTTTGTTTTTGATTATAAAAATAAACAAATAAATATTATACATTTAATGTGTAGAGGTATAAAATTTATAAATTTTATATTAATGAATTAGAAACGATTACAATTGATTGGCTATTAAATATTTAATCTATTGAGTATAAAAAGGCCCCAGATATAGTATAATATTATAATTGGCAAAAGATGTAATTTATATTAAATTGATTTTCGATTATATTTCAGAACATTACCTATGTGAAATAAAAAATCATAATTTAAAATATTGGTTTCAGAAAAAATTGTATAATAAGGTTATTATTTACATTTTCATCAGTTTCAAAACATTAGTATTATTTTTTTATTAATTTCATTGCAGTTCTGAGCAAATAGTGATATTTTTCCATTAATCTATAACTCCTCAAAATGATTGCTTCTTTCCAAAATGTCTTATTTTCAAACTGTAAATTAGAATTAAATTTAGATAATTATAAAAATAAATAATAATGTTTTTTTGTTAAATTATGAATGATCATAATTTGGTATACATTTCTTGCAGTTATGATAATCTTATATTAATAATTTATTAATAATCTATTGAAGAAATATAATAATGTATTACTACTCAAAATATTTATGTGGATAATTTGGATATATTGGTAATAATCTATTGACATTATAACCTTTTAATCTTTCAAAAATGTCTAAGATATTTAATAGAGCCATCTTGATGAAGGCTTATTTATTTATTTCACTTTTTAGGTGTTTGATTTTCTTTTTTTTGGGAAACAAAAAATATTAATTGATCATTATAAAAACAGTTTAAGATTATATAATTTGCATTTATTATGTTTTTTAAAGTTCGAATCAATCTAAATACTTGTAGAATGACTTTTGCAATAAATTGATAAGGGAAAAATTGACAGGTGTATTTAATCAGCATAGCAGTACAATAAATTTAAACTGAATAAATTGCTATGATATTAGTAATGAGAGAAATCTTCACAAATTTTAAATTAATTTTATTTCTATTTATACATTCCTTTTTAATAAAGACTACTTAAAATGAGAATTTCCTATCTATTATATCTAAATTCATTAATAAAATATTATTAATAAAATATTAAAATATCCTAAGAAATACTTGTACATTCAAACATTAAGTTATGAAATCATTTTTATCAAGGGGATTTTTGGTTTATTATATTGTATTGTTGGAATAATTATGGTTATAATATTACCATACTGGAAAAATAGGTTCTATATTGAAATTATAAGACTGAAGGTAAAATCAGTTCGTGATAAAAATTAAAAAAAGATTTAGAGAAGAAGCATAGAGAGCACAGAAATCAATTAGATTCAATTCACTCTTCTAATTTTTGAGCAGAATTTGAGAAATTTAACCTTTTATAGATGATAGAATTTATAAATTTCAGACGCTAATCTAATAAAGCTTTGATCCATCAAAATAGTATAAATCAACTTTCATTAGAACTTCTCAATAAGCATCCATTTTCCATTTTTCTTTTTATTTTCAAAAATTAAAATGCACTTTTATTTTTTAATTAGTGAATAAGACTATTCTGAATTATAAAAATATAACATTATTTTTCTTTTCCTTGTCACTTAGATATAATTAAAGAAAAAACTAAAAAATTGAGAACAAAAATAGAAAAATTCACTATTTCCTACCTTATTAGATAAAAGAGTAAATTAAAAAAATAACTCCTTTGTTGCATTAAGAAAAAATATAAAATAACAGAACCATATATTAAAATTTTGAAGGGGTATTTTGTAAATAGTGAATTTTATTAATTTGAATTAAAATTGTATAAAAATACATTCTATTTTTGATGACCCCTTACTCATAATTACAAGAATTAATTAAACATTTTTGAACTAAAATTATAAGAAGAATTTAAAGACTGATCCTAAAGAAAAGTTGTAATAATAATAAGTAGATATTAAAAATATTTTAAAGGATTTGATTTCATTAAACTTTATTTTAAATAAATCGCTGAAACTATAATCTAATTTTAATTTAGATATATATTGTACTGAGTATGAAATTATAAAAACAATTAAGATTCCAGGATTAATTAAATAAAAATCAACATCAAATTATAGAAAGATTTAATGTTTATGAGAATAATAAAGAAAAAAATAAATTTTATCATGTAAAGGAATTTCACTATTAGAATTTTAAAGACAATAAAAACTTTGGCAACTTCTGCCAATATTATTAATAGCAATTAAAAGACTAAATATCACTGGTATAATCAAATAAATTTGATGGTTTAATACTAAAATAATAATAATATATTAATAAAATAAAGTAATAAAAAAACGATATTAGTTAAAAATTAGAATTAAGCAATAATTAAATAAAGAAACAATTAAATTCAATAGCTATTAATTTAAAATAAAGAAATTAAAAAAATTTATTATTTTGATTTTTTATTATGAAATTAAATAAGGTTTTAATAAGATAATATATAATAGTTGTGTATTTTTCATTTATTTAATTGTTAATTATAATTTTGATAAAATTGTTATTTTATTCTTTTAATTAATTCATTATTAATTAGTTTTTCTAACTGAGAGCCGCAAAACTACAGCAAGATAAGTTAATTGTAGATCAATAGTTCGAGTCACATATCATTATGTTTATTTATATATTTTTTTTTTAAATCACTCTCATTCAAAATGATCATTTAAAGCAATCAAAATCCCATTTTCAATTGTACATAATTATAAAGGAACTCTTGAAAAAATTATATTCATTATTTGATTGCAATCACATTCAGAAGAATTAATCTCTTTATTACTCAAATTAACAATATTCAAATTCAAATTATTTATATATTATTCCATTTAATTATATCTATGAGGTTCAACATATAAATTAATATTTCTTTATTTTTGTTTATATAAAAACTAAGCATTTGGTCCAAATTTAATAAATGAACCTTTTACAATATCTAATGCAGGATTACCAACAATTTATTTTTTATCATTTTGTTATTTATGGAATGTTTTTTATTAAATTAAATTACTTATGACTTAAATATTTTTCTATTTCTATAATGATTATTAATTAAATGAATCAAAAATGATTACATCAGAAGAATCTGAAAAAATCTATATTACACCAACAATAGGGATAGTCTATAATTTTTTTCCTGTAATATCATATCTATCGCAACATGAATAATTAGCAAGGTAAAAGTATTTTCCACTTGCGCATGTTAATAATTATCTGTAGTTTTAATTTGTATTCATGCTTGGAGTAAATTCAGTTTCTCTTATTTTATTTTCAGTTTCTTATAAGCATTTGAGAACATTAAATTTTTACTCTTTTTCAGCTTGTATATAAATTTAATTGTTTTTGGCCAATACAATAAACTTTTTACAAACATTAATGTATGCTACTTAATCTATCGAAAATTGATTACCCTAATTATCTAATTAATAACAAAAAAGTTAATCATTTTAGTGATGATGAAATCATAATTAATTATACAAATTTATTTCTATGATTAAAAACATACAAGTAACCAAGATTATAATCATAATAGTAAACAGATTGTTTCATTTCTTTAATATCTTATTATCTTATCATTTTTACTTAAGGTGCTTAAAATTACCAATACAAGATATATGCCATCGTTTAAGTGTAAACAATAAAAATAGTAGCTTTTTTATTTGTTGAAAATATTTCTTTAATTTAAAACTCTAAGGATTGATTTTTTATAAAACTACTATCTAAATTAACATATTAATTATCAAAAAAAGGCCAGATATTTAATATTCTTTCATCTATATTTTCATTTATCCGAAAGACTTTAAAATCAATTTTCTTCACTAAATATCTTGTTTACTAACATAATTCTTAAAATAATTATTTGATTTAATTTTCAAACATAGACTAAATTTCCTTAGTTTTATTATAAATATTTTATAAATGAATTTGAAAAAGTTTGTTCAATTTTTGCTTCTCTTAATTTAATTAAAAATATAAAGGTTGATTTTTATCTTTAGGTAATTTAACTGTTTAAAAAGTTTAAGTCACAATCTATTTTGCTTATTGCTCTTTAGGATTGAAAAAATGATACCAAGATTTAAGCTCTTTAGAGATATCTTGAATTAAGTTTTCCCTAAAATGGGTAATTTCCTTTTATAATTTTTATGACAATTCATTAAGTACATATTTTAATTTATCAACTTAATGTTACTTTTCAAAAGTATTAATTAAAGGAATAACGTTATTATTCTGTGTGGTGATAATTTAAATCATTAAAGACTCAGTGAATGTATTATAAGTGCTCAATAACTATTCTATTTTATTTATTTCTAATTTTTCTATTATATAAACTTATGGTAATTAAGATTGAGATTTAATTATCTAACATTTTGAAATATCATCTTCAAAAGGTTAATATTAACATTTATAATTCTCTCTATCTTTATTATTAGCTTCAGCAAAATCATAATCATCTCGTTCTAGTAATTAAGCACTAAAAGGTACTATATCTCCAGTATACCAATCAGTGAATACTTCTTCATCTAAACATAATTTTATATTATCAGTAAAATCATGCAGGATTCTGAATAGCACAATTTCTATTGATTTTTCATATATAGGTCTTTTGGTGAAGAATTTAGTTGGGAGAATCAAACAATATAAAATTGTATTTTAGAATTTAATAACAATCAGATTCCCTTTTTCTGATTATTTTAAAAATTCTCTTAAATCTACTTCTTTCTTTAATTCATTTTAAATTTCTCTTTCAATATTTTTCAATTCTCCAAAGTAACCTTTGTTCTAAATAATTTAAGAATCATTTAGATCATTGTAGGACTGTTGAATATTTTTATAATTGAAATTTATTTTATCTAGTTAAAAATCTTAAGCATAATCTGTGATTATTGAGTACAATAAAGTTATCTCAATACTTCCATTAACTGAATTAATTACTATAAATGATAAAATCTGAATATAATTTGCAGTAATTCTAATTTAATTTTCTATCAGAGATCTTAATAGAATTAGAAATTTTTTCATTTTAATTAAAATTTATTTAGTGTTAAAATTACATTTAAAACGAGAAAATTATACTAATTTAATTCTCAATTATATTTTATTTTGTGCCATATAAATTAATGATGTTCGAATATTTTGTAAATTTATTTATCTAAAAAGGGTTTACTTTAAAAACGAATATTTAATTTTTTAAAATTAAAATGATAGGGTGGAATCTAAATTTCACTAATAGTGATAGATTTTTCGGAATGTATAGAAAAAATGTCTTTTTTCGACCCGAAGAATTTCTAAATTATTGATCTAAAACGAAAAAGAGACTTTTCTATCTTGAAAAAATTATAAACATTTCATCAACTAAAATAGTAATATAATTAAATAACCTTTTATTATTTGATAATGCAAATAATTTAATTAAAAAGGATCTACAATTAAAAAATATATATTAAGACCTGCTAAATAATAAGCACTTCATAATTGAAAGTTAGCAATTGAATTCATCATTTTAATTATATCACCAATTCCAATTATTCTTTTATCTATTTTATTATAAATTTAATTTTTATTTTTGATGTAAATATAAAAGCTAAATTATGTTATTATGTATTAATGCATCAATTTTATTAATTTCTAAAAAAAGCTTTAGAAAGCCATTTAATTCAATTATTAATAGATTTAATAAAAAGTTTAACTTTTCAGAATATATAAAAAAGAATTTAATAAATACAAAATTTAAATTTAATTATATGTGTAATCTAATTCTAATTAATCCTAGGAATGAATAAATAATGAAAATAATAGTAGGAAAATTTAAGATTTACTTTTACCATTTGTATACTCATATCGATTTCTATAAAATGACTATAGTGTAAATTTTAAAATAAAGTTAATGATAATCATTAAAAATAAAATATTGAATCATGAAACAATTTAACAAGAAAAAATAGTGATTAATATTCTCAACTATCAATCGATTAATAAAGAAAATATTTTTTATAATGAAAATCTGTATGATGCAATAAATATAAATAATTCAATCTTTTGAAATAAATTAAATTAATACTATATTCTTCTAGACAAGATTCTGAGAAAGTTAAATCTTGGTTTGCTATGGACCCTTAATTTAAAAATTATATTAAAACTAAGATTCTAATTTATATAATTAAATGTCAATTATAGATTCAATAAATTCTTTATTTTCTTAAAAGATTCAAATAATTTTAAAAATTTAAAAGGCATAACTTATTAGATTATGTTAAACTTAAAGATTTGATTGGTTTATCAAGACACACCTTATCAGAAAATCTAAAGATTCAAATCTACATATTTGAAATTTAATATAAGAACAGGGATTATTATATATTTCATGAGAAAAATGAAAACTTAAATCTATCTTCTATAAGATAATATATTTATTTAGCGAACGCATCTGATTTATCTTTTACCTAAAACAAATTTAGAAATAGATTTTGTAATTTTGATAATTGTATTTTATTTGACTTCAATATGAAATTATAGAAAATATAAATGAACTATAAAGTATGAACAAATACAATTGTAAGATATTTTTAATTAAATGATTGAAAAATCCTCTTAATATTCCTTCTATGTATTATATAATTAATTCCCAAAGATTTAATCTAAAAATTATTGTTTTATGAAAACTTACCCTCTAGGCTATTCTTATAGATGATTATAACCAATAACAATTATGGTGGTATAGCATAAATAGTATACCAATAATATGTACTTTATATATAATACAACTGATTAGATTAAATAACTATAATATAATTTAAAATTATTTTTAGATACATTAATGAAAATAATGTTACAAAATTTAAATGAAATATTGAATAAAGTATTTCCTCTACCTCATTTTCAATTAATTTGTTCTATATTTTGTGAGAGGCATTTTCACAGATTGAAATTGTTCAAATTACAATCTAAATGACGATATGAATTAATTGACTTTAAGTACTTTGATAGAATCTTTTTCTTATTTTTACCAATAAATAATTAATGTTTATGAGCTATTGATTCAATTATTCGATGTAAATTTAATTACTAAAAATTTAAAAATTAATTGACCAATTATAGGGTTTTACACAAATAACTAATATAACTGATTATTTTGAAAACTATCAAATATATTCTACTTAATTTTAAAGGTACCTTACTCGATTTTTATCTCATATCTTATTTAATGTTTACAGCACGTCTTTTTCTAAATCTTGATGGTACCAACACATAATTATTTATCTTATCCAGAGTTTTATCTTTTCAATCCCTTTCTTGACCCATGTTGATATACTCTTTACATTAGAGAATCTTGACTAGTAAAAAATTCTTAGAATTATATCTCCTTGTGATTGTCTTCATATTATTTCCTTTTATCATCTACTTTCTTAGTATCCTTTATTTCCATTATAGTAAAATAATTATTTCAAAATAATTAGGATCCCTTTTGAGTCCTGAATCCTTTTGCATCGGTACTCTCAATTTATTTTATCCAGTATCTGGTTTTTAGTACTAAGCTCCTTCTTTCGTGTATTATTCAATCATCCCAAAATCTTTGAGCCTGCATTCCTTCTTTAGTAATTAAAGAGCTCTAAATTTACTAAAGTAAGACTTTAATTTAATTTTGGATGACATAGAATATTTAGGGAAATCAAATATAAAACTTAATAAGAATAAAGATAAATCATCTATAAAATTAATAAAACTAAAACCTCAGAATTTAAATTTTAAAATTAAGCACCATAAAAAAGCATTATAAAAGAAAAAGGAATAATAATAAATAATAATAAACTATTTGATTCGCTAGAATATTATTTAATAAATTCACATTCTTCTATATTTGCAGTAACCAAAAAAAATGAGTTTTCTTAGTAGCAATTAATATTGATCACATTAATATAAATATATAGATCACCATTACAAAAATAAGGTACATATGAAAAATAACAATATAAACTATTTACTTTATTTGCTTCTTATAAAGGATGAACTTAATCATGCGTCTATGATAATATAAAAATGACAATGCATCATCTTAAAAATAATTATTCAAATTTGATTGCCATTAAAAAAGGTAAACCCACTGAAAAAATTTCCACTTTTAGATTTGAATGCCATCAATAAATTTGATTTGTAATTCACCTTATTCCAAAAAGCTTATCCTGATAATCCATCTTTCTTTTCCAAAATATATTTGTAAGCAGTTTTTACATTTGTATTCAATTTAAAATAAATGATATTAATGTGATAATTAATAATATGCTTTAGCTTTCCATCATATATTGTATCAATTTAACCAAAATATATAAAATCATTTTACTATGAAAAAATCTATTAGTTAAGAATAATTTATTTAAATTAAACTTATAATTTACTTCAATAGGGATACAAATACTCATTTTAATCTTTAGGCTATTGTTTTAATTTCAGTTCTCAACAATTATTTTTTGTAAGATCTTTTTAATACAGAATCTTTTCATTTTATTCTATAGCTTTTTGATTATCTGTAAATTATTAAAGTAACCAAATTTGATAATCTGTTATTGATGAAATAATTACTTTTTTTTCATTCATCTATTATTTTCTGTTTCATTACTCAAACTCTTTTAGCATGTTATTCTAATTCTTCATTAACTGCTGCCACTTTATATCGGTTTAGAAATCAATTAGAATTCTGTTCCCTGTTTTGTAAGTAATAATTCTGGTGATCTAGCGCCTTTAAGTGCCTTTAATAAATAAAGAAATTATACCTTATTCATATGAATTAATTTCCATAATAGTTTTGATCGTTATGGAAAGGACTTTCTATCTGTACTAATATTTTTTAATTCATAAGTTTCAGTCTTTAATGGTTAAAGGCTGAATTAATTAAAAATTAAATTATAGTTTTTAATATATATTCTAAATAATTAATATTATTCTAGATCTCATAATTTAATCTTTAAAAGATTTTCTTATTAATATTTCCTATAATCCAACCTTCAATTATAATAATAAACTACCAATCCAAAGGAATAGTTGAAATATAAAAATTAGTAGGTCACATCATAAAAAAATGAATAAATTGACCTTAAAGCATCACATTATATAGCAACAAATTTAAATATAGGTAGTTATAGTAAATCAATATTTCCATGGTTAATAATATATCTTATTTATTATTGCTATAATTAGCCAAAACTTTCATAATTTTTAATGGTTTTAAATCATAGTTAAACCTCTGTGTTTTATTTAAATTTTCTCAAAAATAAAAGGAGAAAGGAATTTATATCTAAAATAAAATAAATTCGATATCATAAATAATATAATTTTAGTTATCAGCTAATTTAGTTTAGTCCTACATAGTATTTTTTATCTCAGTATCATAATTGTAAGATTTTTAAGATTTTTAAATAAGGTACAGCAAGAAATCCTCTGTATAGTATTAAATTTTTCTGAAATTATATTAAGAGGAGTTTATATGATGATTAAAGAAAAAAATTCAATAATTTAAATTTAACAATCCTTAAATTATATAAATATAATTGTAAATGAAAATTTTAGAATTTGTAATCAAATAAACCTTTTAAAAATTTATAAAATTCTAAAAGATATTATTTATTTTAAATCGAAATTTTAAATTTTATTTAATGGAAGTAAAATTATTTTAAAAAAATCAAGCCTTCAGTAAGATTTTAATCCTGAGAATGGATTTTATTTTTTAGAATAGTTTTTGAATCTGCTGTCTTATTTAAAAAAATAGATATGAAAACAGTAGATTATTTACCAGCGATAGGTAAGGTTAGATTAAAATTTGGAATGTGGATTTCTTCAAAAAACAATTTAATGTTGCATATGAATTTTAAAAATAATAATGTTAAATATAGGAATCGCACTTAATCAATCATCAACCTAATTAATTTCTTATGGAGAAATAAGAAAATTACTATTTGGTAAAAGAAATCTGAAGAAAGTTGGGTTATTCTTAAGTACTTTTTGTTAGAACCTCAAGTCATGAGAGTTAAATTTTTTAATGATCTTAAATTTATTTTTATCACACAATTAGATGGCTATCTCTATAAATATACAAAAAAAAGGAAAAAAGTTAAACAGCAAAAATACAATTAGATTTAGAATAAGAAGATCTATTTGGTTTTCCACTTGATGATTCTAGGTATTCATATTTTGTTAAGCATAACAGATTTTATTATATTCTAAAATCATGAGTCAAAAATATATAGAGCTTGGACAGTTTAGAATTTTCAGATAAAGGGTTTTTGGAAAGTTATCTGATAATAAAAAAAATCTTCTTTTTTTGTAATAGTGGATATTATTATTCTTTTAAGTTGGATTCTTGAAATAAATTTCCTCTCATTTGTGATTATTAATTATCTAAATTTTTTTATGTCTTCTATAATTTATTTCTAATCTATTAAATGAACAATCTTGGAAATTTTATTAGGATTTGATTAATTAGCTGTTTATATTATTTAA